CATGCCATACTACTGCTGCCACTCACCTGGCCAGGGCGAAGCAAAGCCACAGCTTGTCCAGGAGGTGCAGGGAGGCTGGAGGAGCTCCCGCTGCTGCACATCACTCGTCTGGAGGCACTACAGTGGCCCTGGCTCTGGAAGCGGCAGGAGGGCATAGCCCCTGCTTCCAGCACCTTCCGCAGCTGGCCCAGAGCACAGCCTGGTGCAGCCCCGGCCCCACAAACCCTGTGCAGATCCAGGGGCACATGCCCCCTCCCTCCCTGCCGCCCATGACCTCCTAGACCAGTGGCGCGCAGCGTGAGTGCCACTGGACAAGGGGAGCCACCCCCCACGTCCTGGCTGGGCAGCCCTGTCCCAGCCCCAATCCCTTCCTCGCTGCAGAGGCATTGATCTGCCCCTCACCACAAGAGACTTACCAGCTGGAGGCAGCCGTGTCGCGCATCATAAAAATCAAAAGCAGCATCTGAACCTCAAAACAGGTCAAAATTTATAATGGTCTCAAGTGCTGTTTGCTGCAACTCAAAAACTTGTAAGTCAAGAACTGCTTGTACACAAGAACATCCTACATCTCCAAAGAGTAACATGGCAGTGTTGTGTCTACAAAAACTTCACTAAATGCTTTAGTGAAGAGGCATATTACCACACCTTGTTACATGTGTGGACTATACTAAAGTGCATTTACAATTATGCTATTCAGCAACATAAATAATTAGAACTCACAAGATAATTGTCAAAATAAAATGTATGGACCTATCCTCATTTCCATGTTTTTGGTATGTTCGCTTGCTGACTAAATTTGTAAACTCCAGGAATCTACAGCAGATTTCCCAGATATTAATATGGATTAGTTGGGTTTTACTCCAATTCTATAAAATGCAAAGCCACCAAACAAACAAAAAAATCCCCAGACCAGAGATGGATTTTTTTTCCCCCTAGCTAAACTTGGTGTGCATTACTGGAAGGAAGACTGCTACTCACTGCCTATGTATTGGGCCAAGTTTCAGCCATCAATCGATCTCATAAAAGGAGAGTAATGTGTCAAGCAGGTTGCATATCACCCTGTTTGTCAATTAGTCTGACTTCTTTTCAACCTTTCAGCAATCAAACAGACAAAGAGAATAAGACCTGTGGGGTAAGAGGCAGAATTTTCAGTTATTACTAAAAACCTGCCTATTCAAGTTACTTTCAAAAGATCATTAAAAGCAAATTATAGAGAAACCAATGTACCAGTATTTATAATTAACACAGCACTAGATGAAGGGCCACTGGGGCCAATGAACTAATCCCCGTAAACAGATGGTTTCTAAGTTAGGTCTTAATTAAGAAAACGAACACACACATCCTATCAAATTTAATATGCAATCCAATATTCTGGCATTTAGTAACTCACTCATCCCAAATATATAGTTTGCTAATACGTAATAGCATCTTTTTTATTTAGCTATACTACTGCCTCACAAAGGCAAAACCAATTTTGGAACTGGAGAGCTCACTTGATATGCAGGACACGCACTATATACATCTTTTCCATTATCATATTTTTGAATGCGACTACATCATGCCATCAGTCAAGTTCTCCAAACTTTTATTTGTCCTCAAACTTTTAATTGCATGGGTAGGACCCTCTTTCCTCCATAAGTGCTGAACTCTTTTGCATTTTTAGTTCTTCCTGAAGGACAAGTTTAACTGTAGAGTCACAAATGTCCACAGGCATCTTGTGTTGCTTTAAAAAAAAAAATCCAGAAAACGGCTTCTTTTGGACAAAAGCTTTGCATTCCTGAGAGGGAAAAATAGTTGAGTTGGAGCCAAAACCGCCTTGAGGTATCCCAGGATGTGCATCACACATTGTAATCAGGGGACTTCCCTTGCGGCTGTCTCAGGCGTATTTGCAAGGTTGAAAATGCTCCCACTGTCACATGAAAAAACAGCTGCCAGAGATTTCGGAGTTCGTACAGATACATGTTGCACAGGCAGATTAAACCAAAACTCAGGAAGGATTTGACGTTCCGCCAGCCCGTGTAATGCACAAATAAATAACACTGCAAAGAAGAAAAAAGAAACACGGGTTCACTGCAGAGAAAACAGCTTCTGCTAATGAGCCACACCAAACTGTCTAGGTAGATGCAGAAATGAAACATGAAGAACTTTTGCTTTTTTTTTTTTTCTTCCCAGTAAGTATATGCAGTACAAACTTGAGCAGGTGTGAAAGCTGCTCAGCATCCAGAGAGGTGAGATTTTGCTTCCTTCAGTCTCTCTTGGGAGATTTCTTCATCACACTGGCTGAATACAAGCACTACTGAGACAGGTCCATGGCAATGGAGACTAATGTTTCTGGCTGGTCTACAAATGGCCCAACGTGCTGGTTTTGGGGAACTCAGGCCAGGCAGATCTCCTGTTTGGAGGAACACTCTTAGCACAAGTAAAAATGGTATACTAGACTCCAGTGCCTCCGACCCGTGCTGCTCCGAGCACAGGGAGCGGGGTCAGGGACTGCTCAGAGAACAGGGGACTTCAGCAATGCGCAGCTGGCACAAGGATCTCAAGCTTTTTACCCAGTGATGAGGACATTAAATCAGGGAAGTCTAAGTGGTTCAGGGAGCTGCTTTTCACATACAACTTCCTTCTCTTCAACCTACCCTTTTATAAGGCTTCTAGTGAATACATTTAAGTGTGGCTAGACAGTGAGATTAAAATGCCTATTTACTTTTGACTACAGAGGGAAAAAGTAAGAGTAAAGTTGTAACCACAGCAAATCATCCCCAATCCCTCTTTGCTCCAGAACACTTTTCAAGGTCCAAATCTCCTTTCTACTAAACTCGCCTCCTTTCACAAATACCTTCCCCCTCTTCCACGACTCTCAGTCCCCTGCTCCACTGTTTTTCATAGCTCCTACCATCTACTCTTCTTCCCCATTTGTCTCTGTTCCTCTTCCAGAAAGCTGCTTTGTTTTCATCTCAGGGGCATACTGCCTAGGGTCTTCAGATCTATGATGCGCCACAGGATCTTTTGCCTGGCTGCTGTTTGAAGCATCAGGGCAGAGCATCCCCTGGCATGCCTAGGATATGCAGATGCCAAGCAGCATACAGCCATATGAAAACAGAGTAAAGCCACTTAAAAGTAGGTGCTGAGACAGGCAAGGAACCACGCCGGGAAGGAATGGAAAGGTTTCAAAAGCAAAAGGGGAAGGGGAAATAAAAACCCAACACACAAAATGCCAGTCTTGTAAGAGGAACAGGATGCTCCACAAATTGCAACAGCTCTATTGAAAACCAGGAAGCTTGGCACCTCTGCAGACAGACTAATATAAGAATGCACTAAGTTCTTGCCAGCAAAAGCAAGAGGCTGATGATTTTAGATCAGTATTGAGCTTTGGTTTTAGACGTCACAGCGTGATGCTGATCTAAGTGGAAGGCTTTTAAAAATCTTTATGCTCTTTGTTTGTTCTTTGCATTTCTCTCAGCTAGGACAATAAAGAGACTTCCTTGTCAGGAGCACTTTCCTCACTACTCAATTCCGTTTGTTGTGCATTGGCACTGGAAGAAAACTGAAATTCCAAGGTTTGAAAACACTTGCAAGAAGATATTTGTGCATCTTTTAAAAAATAAAAGTGTGTATATAGATATATATATAGATATATATATATATATATATATATATAAAATCGAGAGAGAGAGAGAGAGAGAGTCATGAAAATATTTTCAGTCAGTTAAAGGTTATTTATACAATAGGTACAATTTGGTCTAAGTTTGACCTTTTTAAGAAGGTACACTTGTTCAGCATTCTCTCAAAAGCATTACTGTTTAACATACTGTCTCAGCTTCTGGACAGCCTTTTTCTTATGGATTTAATCTACCGGTATTTCCATTTCCCAAATATCTTTCACATTGTCCATCAAGGCTGATGAAAAAGTGGCTTGGCCTTTTTCTCTCTGCAGCACAGGCTGGCCATGTTTTGCAGCAAGGGGCTGCTTTAATGAAGCTTAGCTCCAAGCAGGGGCCACTTCCAACGCCTGCTGGCACAGGTGCAACCACCCCCCCAACCTCAACAGAGCTGCTGCCACTTCTCCCTGCTGCTGCTTCTTCCCACTGCCCAGCTGCCACATGGGCAAAGCCCCCCCACTGCCCAAACACTGAACTGCAAAGCCACAGAAGCCCCCCAGGTCTGCAGAGCTTGGAAAAGGGCTCTATGGGCCAGCTTCAATCTGCAGGTCACCCCTCCTGCACTGCCCTGAGACAACTCCTTGGGGAAGCAGGACTGTGACCTGTTTATGGTAGGCATGTCGATGATATGGCCCACAGGTAGGAACCTGCCTACAGAGCCCCAAAATCCAGCCCCCCAACAGGGCTCGGAGAAGTGAACTGCACATGGTGACTCCTCAGGTTGGCATCCCAGGGAGGGCGTGAGATGCAGGAGTGGCCTGTGGACACCGATTCAGCCAGTGAACTGGCCCTGTGCCACTTATTTAGCCCTGGGCTCAGATGAGTTTGACACCGCTGCTATAAGGCAATAAAAGCCTTGTTCTCACTATTTCTCATTTGCACTTCTGACCCTAACAAATAATACAAAGGATTTTTAAGTTTCACAGGAACAGCCAAGACACTGTGGCTAAGTACAGACAGTCAAAAAGCCCCAGGCTGAATTGATTCAGTTTTTGCAGGTGTTTAAGTTACAGAGATGAAACTGAGAAATAACTGGACATGCATTTACTTTTGATTCAGGAAATGCAGCCACATGCCTGCAGTGGCTCAGGCCAGAAGCCAGGTGGCACTAGAGCACAGCTCTCTGGCACATAGGCAGCATGGGCTATGTTTGCTTCCTCCTGCCCCAGAGGCCTCTGGGATTTGCAGTCCTGAATCACAGTACCAGGACTCTGCAGGGTTGATTATCACTTCCTCTTCCTGCTTCCAGGTGCCTCTGAGAGTTGTAGTCCACAGTCACAGCCAGCAGTAAGTTTGAGCAGGGGGAGAGTGGTGTTTAACCCCCCCACCCTGGCCCCAGATGGGGTTTGCCTGGGGGACGCAGTCCTAGCCCACTCCCGTGTAGACTGGGATGCAAGAGGTCCCCCACCCTCTTGTCAGCCAGCCATCACTGCTTCAGCTAGGAAGCAGGGGGCAGGGCCAGCCCTGCTCCGCTAGAGCAGACAGCCCAGTCCAGGGCTGCAAAGCATGCTAGGGGACTGTGATTTAACTTGAAACAGGAAAGGGGTTAGGACAGACATTTCATAAACCAGTCTGACACTACATTCAACCAGGTTTATCTTAAACCAGTTTCAGCCATTATGAAACTGGTTTATGTGTATTGACCTTCTGTTCTGTTACAGGTTGAAACCAATTTATGTGTAACTTCTGTCCCTAGCCCGTGTGACTATATCTAGCTAATATTTTTTATTAGGGAGTTTGTTTTATTGTGCTCTTGGATATTTGACTAACTTGTTCACTATGCTCATCATCTAGAAAGTGCCAGTCACTGACTTCTTTGCCTCAGATCCTCAAAGGTGGTAATCAATCAATACCTTTAAGGTATGGGCCTGGATCAGGTAAGATTTCTTCCCCCTCCATACGAAACAAAGGCCAAAACAGCAGAGAGTTTTATAATCCATCTCGAGTTCCTCTGAATTCATGCTCTGCTCAGTGAGTGCAATACATCTACTGACTATTTTTGTAGGTTTTAACATTTAAAAAGACAATCAGTATTAGTGTATTGCCTAAAAGAATTCAATTTGTTTCACAAAGCTACCCCTTAAGTTTCCAGAGTATAAGGATCCAAGCATGATAGTTTCAAAAACACCAGAAGTCAGGATATGCTTTCCTCAAAAAGGTTAATGAAAAAGTGCTAAGGGGAACAAAGGTTTAGCAATTATATTTTTTTAAAAATGCAAGTGCAATGTGCTATTTGATGATGGTCCCAAAAAACCTGAAGGCTTTTGCTGCAGATTCTTTGCCTTACTGGATTTGTGGAGCTGAATTTTCTATTAGTCTTTTGTTTTGAGGCAGTAAGAAAATTTTCCATTTACGAACCACAGCAGAGGAAACTCTTGAATAGGTTTGTTTGAAGGGAACTGCTCTCTATGGCAATTACAAAGCACACTGTTTTCTTGTCGTACTTGAGGACACACAAATTTTTGCAACACTTAGGACCTGGCTGTGGAGTCATTTCTTGAGACTCCAGGTCCTCTTTTGTTCTGGACAAAACTGAGATTCATGTTAAACTTATAGAAAATGCAAAATAATGCCAAGACAATTTTTCAGATGCTAGATTTACCAAAGCAGACATTTCTGGTTTTCCTGGATGCTCTACTGAAGCCCTTAATCCCACTAGTTTTCCTTCAAAAATATTATATTGCTACTCTTTTTATCAGTGCAATATTTTGTTTTTATTTTGCAATATCGAGCGATAAACTACAATTTTTGTAGGTCCTGCTGGAGCTGGATAAGTCACAGATGACATTTAGAGATTCATGAGTAAATTGATTTCAGGGAACACAAAACCTTAAAGTTTTTACTTGGAAAGGCACATCTGAAAGTAGATACACACTATACCCAAATGTACAAAAATCAGAATTATTATAACAAATCCCAAAAAGAAAGTCCACACAGTTTAGAGAGACTCTCTCAAGGCATCTTGAAGTTTTACATTATTTGAAATGCATGTAAAGAATGAACACCAGTGTTGATCATATTTGCCTGAAACTAAAAACTTCTGTAACTGGGTTGTAAGAATGGCCAGAGATGGACTGTTTTGATTACAACTGAAACAGCCGATTACAAAGCAACTGTAGGACCTTGATTATTTTTCTACAGCTTCCCCAACAACTTGCCATGTATGAAGATTCAGACAGATTATTACCGATTTTGTTTTATGGCTTAATACAGTGCGCACTGTACAATATTTTCAGTTTTAATTTGCTAATCAAGATTACCCCTCTGTTGCTGACACTCCTGAAAATGCTGTGAATTATCTTTGTATGCCCCTACTCCGATTCTTGATACTCAAAACTAGAAAAGAAATTCCAGATCTAGAGTGAGGCCTTCTGTTTCAAGTACAACATATTTCTGGGTTCAGCCCTTTGTGTTTGTCCTTTGCTAAGCAACAGGGAGTAAAGGACATTCTCTTTCTTGTTATACACTTGGTGTTAGGTTACTATTTATGACTAAAATATTCCTTATTCCACACAAGTCCAATTGTATGGACTTGAAAACGTGCAACTCAAGCAAAAGATTCATGTCCTGAGCTTCTATGGTAGCGTTCTCTGAAACATTTCCCGTCTTCCATTCAAACGGGAAACAAGTCAGGAACTTCAGTGCACAGAAAAGAAGGTGCAAAGACAAGCAGTTTTCAGTACGTGAAACGGGCGGAAACAAGGAGGGTTTGTTGTTGTTTTTTTTTGTTTTTGTTTTTTTAATTATTATTATTTTTGCAGAAAGGAGAACTTACAAAAGGAAGGATGAGTTCCAAGTGGAACCAGATTGCTCTCACACAAAATTAGCAAGGTTTGACATATTACTTAAGGTTGGACTAGGGGAAAATGCAAAAAGTAGACAAGCATTCTGCTGGAGATGCTGATAATGCAATGGTTATTTGTAGGGACCTACTCAATGAGTTGCGGAAACTGCAAGATTGGGCCTTTTTTTTTTTTTTTTTTTTTTTTTTTTTTTTT